CTCACACATAGACTTTAACTATGTTGTCGTTTCTTCCTTTGAAAGAGAACAAAGGCATTAAACCCGCCGCTCCAAGTGTCCCACTTTCAAAGAAATTTCTTCCTGCTTCGTCATTCGAGCTGGATTTTATCACCTGTCCATTTTCCACAGACACTGACTGATGCCGTGCACAAGAAAAAAAAAGTCTAACCTGTTACTCAAAGTGCTGTTTGGGAGGGGGAGGCCAGCAGCAGGAACATGACTGGGAGGGTGATGTAAATCCATAGTTTATGCAATCGTTTTCACACCTTACCTCGTCTGATTAGGTAGAGGACCAATAGGGCGTCCAGGACCCTCTTAGGGACACACCCATAGGGCTTAAAATCCAGAACTGTTCACCAGTTGCTCTCAGAGCTGAAGCTCCTTGGATGAAACTTAAAGTAGTCCAGACGCTTTTCTTTCTAAGCTCCTGGATGACTGAGAACCTTCACAGACATATTCTCTACAGAAATTTCACTGGTCTGTCCCAGTTAAGCTGAAAGTGGGCTGTATGTGTTTGAGTTTGATGCCCCAGTCTGCACAATGAGCCAAGATGCCATCCAGGAAACATCTAGAACACCCAAAAGTTTGTGCTTGTTTCTATTTGGTGATTTCAGCGTCCCTGGTAACGTTTCTGGTTTGAGTTTCTATGTGAGAGTTTTTCTCAGCAAATAAAACGGCTGCTTTGAGTTTACCTTTAATGTACAAGTCCTGCATTTGGGCCTGCCACAGCACAAACCTCGACAGATGCTGATCCAAAAACAGCTGCCCTCACAGGTGATACGTTACATAGCAGAGGGGGACTGGATATCGGCATGAAACAACACTCAACAACTTCAGGAAAAGCATTTTGGAAAAAGAAAGGTGCTTTGATGACTCTTCATCCTTCATTTGTATGACCTGGAATTTATAGATACAGAGCAATATTGGTGGAGGCAGCTACAGGTGTAGCCACAGCTGCCCTGAAGTGTTGCCCAAGGACACAATGACCAGGACAGAGAGAGCTGGGGATTCGTTACAAGTATTCTAGCACGATGTGTAAGTAAACTGATTTCTTTTGACACTTTTCCCAGAACACGATTAGAGAAATGTATAAATGTCACGGTCCTGGGTCGGTGACACACTGTTTTGAATTTCGTACTATTATTGATCTTCGATTTTCATCGTGGCTTATGACTGCTAGTGTTTTGGTTTCTGTTTTGTATTTCTAGCTGATCTCTAGTTCTTAGGTTTTGGCTCCTGTGCCCCTCATGCTTAGTGTAGCTTTAGTTCTGTCATGTTTCTTGTTCCCAGTCAGTCGTGCTTCATGTTGCAGTTTGTTACTCCTCCCTGTGTCCGTGTTCCCTTTGTTCAGGGTCTAGTCCTGACTGGATTTTTGCTTCTATCATCCTTTTTGCTACAGTGCAATAAAGATGCCTCTTTTAGTTTATCATTCTGTCTCCGGGTCCTGCGTTTGGGTCCTACATCGTGCCTGCTGCAGCACACCATGACGATAAAAAAGCTCGACAGGATCGCCCTGACGAGCACTGGCAAAGACTTTTGTGTTAAACTCACCACTCTGAGTGTCGAACCATATGAGAGAGTTTTTCTGACAGGAGCTGAACAACAGAGTTTTGAAACTCTGCTAAGAAATGTTCTTGTAAGGCTCTGTCGAGTGTATTCCTGTCGAGTGTATTCCTGTCGAGTGTATT